ACATCAGGGAAGTCTACAAAAACCTGCAGGAAATCAATGCCTTCATTCCCCACAGTGTGGAGGAGTACCGGGAAACTCTGGACCCCAGCAACCCCCAGGACGTCATCGATACCTACCTGCTCCTCATGGAAAAAGTAGGGTTTGGGAGAGGGGAGTTGGAGGGGAGGGGAAGGAGGAAAGACTGGGGGATGAGAAGGAGGGAGAGGAAGAGGGTGAGGGAAGAAGAGAGACTGAGGAGGGGATTTAGGAAAGGGGAGGGGAGATGCGGGAAGCAACAGAGAGAGATGAAAAGAAAGAGAAAGTAGGGAAGAGAGAGAGAGAGATACTGGAAATAAGTGACAAGGGCAAAAATACAGTTGAATAGACCCACAGAGGCAGAAAGACGCTGAGAGACAAAAAGAGACAAACATACCAAAGAGATGGAGAGAGAGTGAAACAGAGCCAGACAGAGTGAAGAGAGACTGAGCGAGACAGAAATAGAGATATACGGTTAGATCCGCAGAGGATAGGGAATAGTAAAATGAGCCAGACAGCATGAGAGACCCAGAAACAGGTGGATGGCATCTCAAGAGACACATGTGCCTTTCCTGACATGAACCCTAACCCTCTGGACCCAGGAGAATTCTGACCCCAACAACGAGTTTCACCAGCAGAACCTCATCATCAATGTGCTCTCGCTCTTCTTCGCTGGCACTGAGACCACCAGCACCACTCTCCGCTATGGATTCCTGCTCATGCCCAAATACCCACACATCAGAGGTGGGCAGGCTGGCGACGGCCAATCAAGGGAGATCTTCTGGCCCCTGTTGGAATGCAGAAGTGAGGCTGGGCTTCTTCCTGAATGAGAGGGCACTTTCCCCTCTTATACCTGGATCACTGCAGGTTTGGAAGGAGCCCCCAACTAGGCCAGCCATGTTGGTGGATGGATGAATGAATATGTTTATCTGTTCTCTCACTGTTTTCTCTGATCAATTAAAGATCAACTCATCCATGCAACCTTTCATCCATCCATCTTTCATCCATTCATCTGTCCATTCATCAGTCTGTCCTTTTATTCATTAATTAACCTGCTTCCTCAGCTTCTTTTATCTATGATTTATCCAAAAACATACACTCCCATTCTTTATTTGGATTAATTGATTCATCTATTGATCCTTTGAAACAGTAATTGAATGAACTATTTGTCATTAATTCATTGGCTCATTCATGCATTCATGCATCCTTCTGTGCTTCTATGAGCTAGGTCTCACTCCTTGATCCTTCCATCAGTCAGTCTTTCAATTCATCCTTCATCCATTCCTTCATTTGTCCATTTAATAATTCACTCATTTTTTCATCCTTGATTTATTCATTAATCATTCAATGCATCCATCTATTTATTCCTTTATTTACTCATTCCCTCACTAATTTATTCATTCACTTATTCCTCCCTAAATCTGGCCATTCATCCATTCATGTAATTTATTTGTCTATGAAATGTTTATTAATTAAGGATTCATTAATTTGTCTATTGATTGATATGTAAATATGTACATACATTCAGTAATGTTCTTCCATTCATCAACCTTTCCATTCATGAATTGATCCATTGGTTGATTGATTTATGTAGTGATTTATTTATCCAGTTGTTCACAGGATAATATATTGATCTATTTCACTGATATATTCCTGAGGACCTTGCACAGTACCTCATCTATCCTACATACACAGTAAATATTAGTTCTTTTTTCTACTCATCTTGGAGAATTTTGACAGGTTCATAGCCTAGAGTTATTAATCTGAAATTCTGTGCAAAAATGTGGCACACGTGGATATGTATGTGTCTGTGTTTACCTGTGCATGTGGGGAGAGAATCCATAACATTCATTAGATTTCAACGGGTGAGAAGTCTTATTGCGTCCTTCCTCCCCCCCTCACCCCAAACTGGTTGCTCTGAGGGGTGTCAATAATATAACCCTTTACTAGAGGTATTTTTTTGCTCATTGGCCCATAGAGCAGTGTCCCTGCTGAAATGTCTCTTTGAAATGAGGTTCACTGGTCCCACTCTTCTGTGCAAAGAGAGTCCACAAGGAGATTGATCAGGTGATTAGCTCACATTGCCCTCCAGCCTTCGATGACCGAGCCAAAATGCCATACACTGATGCAGTCATCCATGAGATCCAGAGATTCAGGGAGCTCATCGCCTTTGGCTTGCCCGACATGGTCACCAAAGACACTCGCTTCTGAGAGTACATCATCCCCAAGGGTGAGGCCAGCCAGGCTCCCACATCTGTTTTGGGTGGGCATCCTGGGTTCCCATAAACTCCAAACTCGACTTATTGTTGGTTTTATTACTAGGACTCTCTTGTTCTGTTTTTAGGGGTGGAGTGGGGAAGGGGATGACAATATCCTTGATCTTGTGATCAAAGGGCACTGAAGTATATCCCATCCTGAGCTCTGCTCTCCATAACCCATGTAACTTTGAAAAACCAGATGCTTTCAACCCTGACCACTTTCTGGATGCCAATCCTGAGGGTGGACATGAAGAAGAATGAAGCTTTTATCCCTTTCTCCACAGGTAAGGTGGACCCACACTCCCTTTCCAAAACACCAGAGTGCAGGTGCCATCCACTTCTTGAGACAATCAAGGAGAGGTCTTTGTTTATTTAGCACTGAGTATATACCAGTTGCTTTACCTGTATTAACCCATTCCATCTTCACTACAACCCTAGAGGGGGCTTGAGAAGTGAGATCAGGTCCCAAAGGCACATCTTGGTAAGCTTGACCCTGGGCAAATATTTTAATCTCTCCACATCTTCTGGTATAAAAGTGGGTCCTTGGGGCCTTCCCGGTGGCACAGTGGTTAAGGGCGCATGCTCTGCTGCCGCGGCCCAGGGTTTGCCGTTTCGGATCCCGGGCGCGCACCGATGCACTGCTTGTCAAGCCATGCTGTGGCGGCGTCCCATATAAAGTGGAGGAAGATTGGCACAGATGTTAGCCCAGGGCCAATCTTCCTTAACAAAAAAAGGGGAGGATTGGCAGATGTTAACACAGGGCTGATCTTCCTCACAAAAAAAATAAAAAAAAGTGGGTCCTTAGATTCTGTGGGGCCACTTAACCTTTTGGAAATCTAACAGAAGCTATACACTCTCTCCTGGAAAAATGTGCAAGGCACATCCACCCAAAGATTTGACCCTGGATTCACAGGGTCTGGGAACCATATAAATATCCACCATAAATTGTAGGTTAAAGGCCAATCTTAGGAAAATCTGTTGCAATGGACACATGTGTCTGGGCTTTGGGATGTGACAGGGCAAAGAATGTCCACCTGCCCCATGCCCAAACTGGTGATCCCCTGTGCCCACAGGGAAGCGCATTTGTCTTGGTGAAGCATCGCTTGTATGGAATTATTCCTCTTCTTTACCACCATCCTCCAGAACTTCTCCGTGGCTAGCCCCGTGGCCCCTGAGGACATCGACCTCATACCCCTGGAGAGTGGTGTGGGCAAACTGCCCCCAGTGTACCAGATCAGCTTCCTGCCCCACTGAGGGTGCTGAGGAAGGGGGTCTAAGGATTCCAGGGTCATGAAGTATCCCCATCTCTGCAGAGAATGGCCCCTGACTCTCTCCATGTCTTCCCCACTCTGAGAGACCCGCTGCAAGCCTGTATCCTTCCCCCGCCTTGGTTGCCACCTCCGTGGACAAGTCCTTTCTTCAGTCTCACCTCCTTCCATCATGCCACAGCTCTTCTAAAGACTCAAGGAAGTGTTTCCTTTGTTAAGAGAATTCCAGAAGTGGTGTATATATAGAAACAGGGGCTAAAAGGGGAAACCTGGCTCAGGATCTCTACAGTTTCACCTCCCAGGCCACAGCTCACCCTGAGTGACTTCTCTCTTCCCCAGAACAACCACAGCCTCCATTTATCAACTCCTTGTGCTCCATGATCTGTGCATACATGACTACACTAGAATCCTATCCAGTTAGCCCCTGTGGTGAGTACAATGATCATGCCCCCTTTACAGATGAGTAAACAGAGGGCAGAGAGTGCCATCAGTTGTCTGAGGTCAGATGGCTAGTGAGTGGAGGCACAGGATTCACACTGTCTGCCTGGATCTAGAACCCAAACTCTTCACCACACCTCCTTTTTTATCAATATATATTTTAAAACTAAGATGAAATTCACATAACTTAAAATTAACCATTTTAACATGTATAATTCAGTGGCATTTTGTTCATTCACAATGTTGTGCATCCACCACCACTATCTAGTTCCAAACATTTTCATCACCCAGGAGAAAACCCCACACCCATTAGCATTCCCCCTTCCCCACAGCCCCTGACAAACACCAGTCTGCTTTCTGTCTCTGTGGATTTTCCTGTTCTGAACATTTCATACAGACAGAATCACACAATCTTTTGTGTCTGGCCTCTTTCACTCAGCAGAGCTTAAGTACAAAATCTTTTAATTAACTAGGAGAATGTCATTTAAGGTTTTCTGATACTATGGTTGTTTATTCAATCCACATCTGAATGGGCCTCCGATGGCATGTCTTCAAGCAATAGGCTCATTCCTTTGCTTCACATATTAATCAGTCCAATTGTTGGATATGTGGCCAACTTCCCCTTTCTAGTACATCTGGGTTACCTTGGTGGGTTTTTCCCTTTCAAGGTACAGATTGCAAAGCTCTAAAACAATTTATTATGATGGAGAGGTCAAATTCCAATGTTCACAGTTCATCTGATGTTACTAACTATCATCCTGAAACCTGGCCAATAGCCAATACTATTAATGGTACAGGACACGGTTATTCCTTTTCTGTTGCTCAAACTATTCCATTTTCCCACCTGAAAATGTTTTTGCCACTAAACAACAAAATGTTTTGCCACTAAACAAAAGAAATTGGATCCTACCACAAGAACTATGGGGGATTTCACACAAATCTGACATGGATTTGTTTGTCTCACTCCTAGGGGTCTTTAAGTACATGAGCACGTTTATGCTGGAACAGAGGAACATGGGATGAAACATGGGATGGATATCCCTGGAGCCATGTCAAAATACTATCATTCTTAAAGAAAGTTTTCAGTTGGAACAGACTGGTCTTGAAGGCCAGAGATTGAAATCTTATAAAAGAAGAACGTGTTGTAAAATACACTGGATTATAAATATACCAGAAACAGATCTAAGGATATTTAAAATTTTATCATATTGTATGTTTCAAGCCAGTAGATAAAAGTTGAATTATCTGATAGGTGATTGGATCAGGGCACTTGCAGGACCTTGAGAGTGAGGATTCCCCAAATTTCTGTGTCCTAATTGCCTCCTGGGCTGCACTCTAGTCCACGGCTTGGATTTTAAAAACTGGCTCATTGGAAATAAGTCATTGAATTTTCCTTTTTTACTCTTCCATTCTGTTCCCTTTCTTTCCTCTACCTACTTATCCTCTATCTATCATCTATCTATCTATCTATCTATCTATCTATCTATCTATCTATCTACCTATCTTTCTCTCTGTCTGTCTTTCTATCTGTCTATTTGTCTATCCATCTATCACCTAACCTGGTGTGTGTGCACATATTTAATAAAAAGTTTGGAAGGACTTCTTTTTTTTTTTTTTTAAAGATTTTATTTATTTATTTTTCCCCCCAAAGCCCCACTAGATAGTTGTATGCCATAGCTGCACATCCTTCTAGTTGCTGTATGTGGGACTCGGCCTCAGGATGGACAGAGAAGTGGTGCCTCGGTGCGCGCCCGGGATCCGAACCCGGGCCACCAGCATCGGAGCGCGCTCACTTAACCACCAAGCCACGGGGCCGGCCCACAGAAGGACTTCTATAATATTAACAGATATGTTTTGGTGGTGAATTATAGCTGATTTTCACTTTCAACTTAATTACTTCCTTGTTGTATAAAAATTAGAAAAAAGTAAAAAGTTGTTTTTACCTTGAAAGAAAAGCTGAAAATGCCATTCTCAATTCTTGGCACATAGCGTGTGCTCAATAATGGATCATTTATCTGCCTGTTCTTTTGTGTGCACGTGCGTGCTTGTGTGTGTCTTTGTCTTTCATGTTATCTCAATCATTGATTTAGTTTCCATCTTTCTCCCCAATCATACCGCCTCTCTCTCATCTCCCTCACACTATCTTTGCCTTTTGTAAATTTCTTACTTTCTTTCCTTAGAATATTCATCTTTTTCAAAAATGTTCACCCAGCTTTTGGGGTTAGACAAAGGGAGAAAGTCTCACAAAGAGGAGGTGAGCAGGTGTTCTCATGGGGTGGGGAGGGCACAGATTACTCATGGAGAATGGGATGAAGGCTTCTTGCTTCCTGAGGCTGCCCTCCGCATCCAGGAAGCGGCCAGGGTGGAAGATATCCAGTTTCTCCAAGTGGTGTGGGTCATGGAGGACAGAGCTCATGACGGGGTACACAGTAGTGTCCTAAGAGGGTGTTAAAGCCAAAGAGACCCAAATGGCCATCAATGAAGAGTGGCTGAATCAATGATGGTGCAGCCACAGTTGATAATAAGCTTCACCAACTGTATAGTCCACAGTTGGTGACTAAAATAATTGAAAAAATAATGAATTGAAATAATTCTGCCCCATTTGGTTAATAGTTGTGTCCTGAGCTCTTCAGGAATCCCCACTGACCGGCCTCACCCTTCTTCCCAAAGACCCTTTGGACTTCTCCATGATCCATCAACTAAAAGTGTCACATCTGGCTCAGCAGAGGCCACCAAGGACCCGACTCTGATACCAGGGCCAGAATCTAATCTGATGGGTAGTGCCCATTGGGTGATTAGATATTGTGAGTATCACCCCTCGGTACGTCGATACTCAGGAAAGTTTGCAACCACGGAAAAAATGAGTTAGAACCATAGGCTAACCTGAAAATATATTGACAGCATATTCTTATATTATAAAAGGAAAACCACACACATGGACACAAAATGAAAAACGAATTGAAAATTGTATTAATATGAACATAAAGACAAGAGGGGAAGGAGACAATGCACACTGTACACGCAAGTTCCAAAGTGATAGATACAGTGTGATTACCAATCTTTTTGTAGATGCATTTGCATGTGGTATATGTTCATGTAATTAAAGGAAAGTGTGGAAGGAGAAAAATCAAATTGCAAACACCTTCTCATGAAGGAGGAAGGTAGAGGAGATGATAAAATAGTTGTAGGAAAAAAGCTCCATTGTGTAACAAGTTTCAATAAGTATATGGTAATTTTTTCAGAAAGTCTAACATCTAATAAAGGTAAAATATAAGACGGAGAGAAGGGAGAGGACTTTTCTGTGTTTCTCAAATCTCTCTCTCTCCCATAGACATCTGGAATAAAAATTCTCATTGCAGTGCAACAACCAGAGACATGAAGCATAGGACTGCAGGCGGACAGCACCTTCCATCCAAGATTCTGTGGCCCTGCTGGTCTCACCTTAGGGAGACCATATGCCTGAAGTGAGTATCTTTGTGACAGAGTAGGGGACAGCAAAGGGGATGAGGTCACTGACTCTCTGAATCTCGTGGATCACAGCATCTGTATAAGGCATTTTTGCCTGATTTTAAGGGCTGGAGACAGTGTGGGCCGATCACTCTGTCAATCTCAGCCTGGACGTTCTCTAAGAGTGGTGAGGGTGGGAGGGGGTCATCAGTGGATGCCCATAACAGTGGGCTCAGCCAAGTCACCCAAAAGTTGACCTGCAGACAGGGGGGAGGGTCTTGTGAACTCTTTACTAAGATGTTGGGTTATTGTTCCTGCTCTATGAAAGTATCAAGAAAGTAAGTCAATGGCTTCTTTGTGGGGAAGTCTTCTCTGATGTTTCCACTGTAGCTATGAGAGGAATCATTTGGGTAATGACAGGTCAGTAGAAATTCATTCACCAGTTAAAACACCATTTTGTGAGTGTGTGTGTGTGTGTGTGTGTGTGTGTGTGGGGAAGATCAGCCCTGAGCTAATATCCATGCCAATCCTCCTCTTCTTTTTTTTGCTGAGGAAGACTGGCCCTGAGCTGACATCCATACCAATCCTTCTACACTTTATGTGGGATGCTGCCACAGCATGGCCTGACAAGTGGTGCCTCGGTGCACACCCGGGATCCGAACTTGAGTCGCCAGCAGCGAAGCGTGCGCACTTAACTGCTACGCCATGGGGCCGGCCCCTAAAACACCTTTTTTTAAAAAAAAAATAAAAATGAGTTGTGGCTGAAACTGGGGTCATGTCCTTCTGTCCCACTGATTTACTATGTGATCTTGGATAAGTCACTTCCCCTCTCTGGGCCTAAATTCATTATCTGTAAAACAAAGGGGTTTGATTGGATGAAACTTTCTCAAAGTCTGATCTACAGACCATCCACATGAGAACCAATTAAGGAGATTTTTAATTAGTTGTACATCAGCAATATACTCCAAATAGTCCAGTTCTTTGTCAGCCTCGAAGTGTCAACGACAAAATGTTCTGTCAAGACCCATGTGCTTTGGTAGACTGCAAAATGCCCACTGATTGCTAATGCTTTGTGCCTGGAGCATGCTTTGTAAACCATAAAGCACTTTACAATCTCCCAAGTGTTTTGCAAATTACAAAACACTTCAATATACCTTCTAAACCATAGGGTGCATCATTGAATGAAAAATATTTTGTAAATTCTAAGTACCTTGTCAACTTCAAAGAGTTTTGTTTGCAGCAAAGCTCATTATAAGTTACAAATCCGTACAAAGGTGGATTTTCTATTTTTCAGACTGATCAGGACAGATGTCTTCACCTATCACCCAATAACCTTCCAGCATGGTCTCAGAGACCCTTGATTATCCTCACCTTCACCCACTATAAGCCCAGCTCAGCTAAGACATCCGGGTTCTTAAGAAGGAATAGAAGCTTATAGCAAAGAGTGGTGCTGGATGTCTCCATGCCAGAGAAGAACAGTGATAGCATCGCATGGATGAGATTCTTATGGTGGAACTCACTCTCAGGATCGGAGCATTCCTGGGGGTGGCAATGGACAATCCTTGATGCCTCCCATTGCATCTGTTTTAATTTCTAGGTCTTCTTTTCTCCCCACCCACCCCCGTGTTACTCTGTGTTGCTTTTTCTTTTTCCCTATTTCCCTTTTTGTCTATTCAAAGCCAACAATGAAGCAAAAGGGTGGGCTCTGGAGCCAAACTAACTGGTTTCAAGCTCAGGCCCTACCACTTACTAGCTGTGTGCCTTTGGGCAAGGAATTTAACCTGTCTGTGCCTTTGTTCGTCACCTTTGAAATTATGTATGTAAGTATTAAAGAAACATTATGGATTAACTTTCTGTTGTTGTTATTACCTTCTCTGTCCTTTGGTGTCTTTGCTTTCCTGATTGGCTCTTGCAGCTGTATATCCAGGGGTAATACTGAAGATATTTAACAACCTGTATGACTCTTACCACACCAATAAGAACAGACATCAGCCTCCAACCAATCAGAACAGACATGGGCTCTGACCAATGAGAACAGACATGGGTCTCTGAACAATCAGAATAGAAGGGCGATGGGCCGGCCCCGTGGCTTAGCGGTTAAGTGCGCGCGCTCTGCTGCTGGCAGCCCGGGTTTGGGTCCTGGGCGTGTACTGACGCACCACTTCTCCGGCCATGCTGAGGCCGAGTCCTACATAGAGCAACTAGAAGGATGTGCAGCTGTGACATACAACTATCTACTGGGGCTTTGGGGGAAGAGAAGTAAATAAAATTATAAAAAAAAAAAAAGAATAGAAGGGCGATCCTCAGACAACGGAAACAAAAGAAAAATAAAGAAATGGGACTATATCAGATTAAAAAGCATCTGCAAGGAGGAGGAAACCATCAACAAAACAAAAAGACAACTCACCAACTGGGAGAAAATATTTGCAAATCATATGTCCGACAAGGGGTTAATTTCAAAAATATGTAAAGAACTCATACAACTCAACAACAACAAAAAAACAACTTCATCAATAAATGAGTAAAGGAGATGAACAGACATTTTTCCAAAGAAGATATACAGATGGCCAACAGGCACATGAGAAGATGTTCGACATCACTAATTAATTATTAGGGAAATGCAAATCAAAACTACAATGAAATATCACCTCACATCCATCAGAATGGCTATAATTAACAAGACAAGAAATAATAAGTGTTGGAGATAATGTAGAGAAAAGGGAACCCTCATACACTGCTGGTGGGAATGCAAATTGGTGCACCCATTATGGAAAGCAGTATGGAAAGTTCTCAAAAAATTAAAAATAGAAATACCATATGATCCAGCTATTCCACTTCTGGATATTTATCCAAAGAACATGAAAACACTAATTCAAAATCATGCTCATCGCACCATTATTCACAATAGCCAAGAACTGCAATCAAACCAAGTGCCCATCAACAGATCAAAGGATAAAGACGATGTGGTATACGTATACAATGGACTACTACTAGCCATTAAAAAAGACAGAATCAGGGGAGAGAAGTCAAGATGGCAGCGTAGACGGACTCTGAACTCACCTCCTCCCGTGGACACAGCCGATTTACAACTACTCTTGGAAAAATTACTCCTGAGAGAGAAATGAAAACTGGATAAGAGGAATCCCTGCAGCGAACAACAGTCATAATTGAGGTGGAAGGGGCAGAAATTCCCTTCTGGAGAGAAAAAAACGCCACCTTCACAAGCTGAAACACTTCACAGCTGCTCAGGAGCAATCCAGAGGTACTCAGCCTTCCCTGGAGGAGTGGGGGACCTGAGCCAGGGAGTGTTCCCGCTATAGGCATTTTTTTGGACCCAGCACAAGTGAGATGAGTGTCATAATATCTGACTTTGCAGGCTACTAACAACAGTGGGGAAAACTCCCAGAAAAGCTGGGACATAAGGAAATTAAAGCTGGCTCTTAAAGGGCCCAGGCACAAATTCACTCATTTTGGAAAGCAGCCTAAAATCACCAGAAAGAAAGATGCACAGTCTTTTGGTGAAAAGAGACTCACCTGATAGGCTCTGGGTGCATCTCAGTGAGAGTTGAGACCTCTCCAGGGACTGGGACATTGGCGGTGGCCATTGCTGTCACCTGGTGTGGGTGTGCTGACACAGACACTGGCAGATGCCATTGGAGTTCTCCCTGTGGCCTGCTACCCCAGGGTCCACCCCACCCACTAGAGCACTGATTTAATCCAGCTCACCCAAGGAAAGCAGCCTGCCCCAGGGACTAGCCTCACCCAACAACAAGCCCTCAGGCAACCTGTGGGCCTGCTAAGCAAGCTGCCTGGATTCTCTGCAGCCCAATGAGTGGGTCCATCTCTGTGGAGCAGGGCATGAGCTAGGAGTAGGTGGACAGTGTGGGGCGTTGGTGGAGTGTGTGTGGCTCCTGCCTTGGAGAGACTGGGTCCACTTCAGGGGGTCAGGGTGTGTGCATGGGGCAGGACTGTGTTGACTGTGTATGTGGCCCTGTGGGTAGCAGGGCTTGTCAGCTGCAGAAGACTTGTGCTTTTCAAAGAGCCACATAGGGGATAAGCCCTACCTTCCAAAGCCTGAAACAATTGGATGATCCCGTGCCTGAGGCCAGCCCCACCCAGCTGCAATCCTCAGACAGCTAGCAAGAGCCTTATAGGCCAGAGGCTTATAGCAATTGTAAGCCCCCGAGCCTAACAACCAGCCACCCTGGGGGCCTACTCACTTAATAGAAAAACTGCAACAGGAATGTGCTATTAGACCTTGCAGCCAATGTACTGGGGCACCCCACACCCGACAAAGAGACTGAAGGGCCCACAACAACTACACGCAGCTGAGCATTACAACCAGCTAGCCAGGGGTCAGCTCAGCCTCCCTGGGGACCTATGGCAAAGCAACCCTGCCACAACAGAAGGACACAGATATCCCACACAGGGGTCACTCCTGGAACATTTGGAACTGGTGATGAGAATGAAGCACACTGCTTGGTCTCATAAGGCATCACTTATATAAGGTCACCTCTCCAAGAGCAGGAGACATAGCTGACCTACCTAATACATAGACACAAGCACAGGGAAAGAGGCAAAATGAGGAGGCAAAGGAATACATTCAAGTAAGGGAACAGGACAAAACCTCAGAAAGGGAACTAAATGAAACACAAATGTGCAACCTACCTGACAGAGAGTTCAAACAAAGAGTCATAAGGATGCTCACTGATCTTGGGAGAAGAATGGATGAACTCAGTGAGAACATCAACAAAGAAATGGAAGATATAAAAGAGAACCAATCAGAAATGAAGAATACAATATTGGAAATGAAAAATTCACTAGAGGGACTCAAATGCAGAGTAGAGGATCCAGAAGAACAGATCAGTGAGCTGGATGAAAGACTAGAGGAAATCACCCAAGCTAAACAGATAAAAGAAAAAAGAGTTAAAAAGAACGAGGACAGTCTAAGGGACCTCTGGGACAAGATCAAGCACACTAACATCCGTGTTATAGGTGCCCCAGAAGGAGAAGAGAGAGACAAAGGGGCAGAGAACCTATTTGAAGAAATAATAGCTGAAAACTTCCCTAACCTAAGGAAGGAAACAGACTTCCAGGTACAGGAAGCACAGAGAGCACCAAACAACATAAATCCAAAGAGGCCCACATCAAGACACATCACAATTAAAATGTCCAAAATTAAAGATAAAGAGAAAATCCTAAAAGTTGCAAGAGAAAGACAACAAGTCACATACAAAGGAAACCCCATAAGGCTATCAGCTGACTTCTCAGCAATAACATTACCAGAGACAAGAGAGTGCTGCGATATATATAAGGTGCAAAGAGGAAGGGCAGGCCTGGTGGCATAGAGGTTCAGTGCGTGCGCTCTGCTTCAGTGGCCCGGGGTTCACAGGTTCAGAACCCCGGGCGCACAACAATGCATCACTTGTCAAGCGACGTTGTGGCGGCGTCCCTCATAAAGTAGAGGAAGATGGGCACTGGTGTTAGCCCAGGGCCAATCTTCCTCAGAAAAAAGAGGAGGATTGGTGATGCATGTTAGCTCAGGGCTGATCTTCCTCACAAAAAAATAAAAAATAAAGTGCAGAAAGGAAAAAACCTACAGCCAAGAATACTCTACCTGGCAAAGTTATCATTCAAAATGGAAGGAGAGATAAAAAGTTTCCCAGACAAGCAAAAATTAAAGGAGTTTATCACCATGAAACCAGTCCTACAAGAAATGCTAAAGGGACTTATTTAAGGGGGAAAGAGAAGACCACAAATAGGAAAAATTATCTATTCCCATGATGAGAGGGTAATGGATACAAACACACAAAAAAGAAGTTAGATATGATATCAAAAACATAAGATGTGGGAGAAGGGGAGTAAAAGAGTAGAGCTTTCAGATAGAGGTCAAACTAAGGAGACCATCAACTTAATATAGATTCCTATATACGTAGGTTTCTATATATGAACCACATGGTAATCACAAACCAGAAACCTATCATAAATACACAAAAAACTAAGAGAAAGGAACCCAAACATAATACTAACGAAAGCCATAAAGCCACAAGGGAAGAGAGCAAGAGAAGAAGAAAGGAACAGAGAAGGACTACTAAAACTCTGAGAAAAAAAGTTAAAAAATGGCAGTAAGTACATACTTATCAATAGCTACTTTAAACATCAATGGACTAAATGCTCAAATTAAAAGGCACAGGGTTGCTGACTGGATAAAAAGACATGATCCATATATATACTGCACACAAGAGACACACTTCAGACCTAAAGACACTCACAAACTGAAAGTGAAGGGATGGAAAAAGATACTCCATGCAAATGGCAATGAAAAGAAAGCTGAGGTAGCAGTACTCATATCATACAAAATAGACTTTAAAACAAAACTGTAGCAACAAAGAAGGGCACTACATAATGATCAAGGGAACAATCCAACAAGAGGATATAATACTTGTGAATACCTATGCACCCAACGTAGGAGCACCTAAATATATAAAGCAATTATTAACTGACATAAAAGGAGGAATAGACAGTAACACAATAATAGTAAGGGACTTTAACACTCCACTTACACCAATGGATAGATCATCCAAACAGAAGATCAATAAGGAAACATTGGCCTTAAACGACACACTAGGACAGATGGACTTAGTAGATATATACAGAACACTCTATCCAAAAACCAAGGAATATACATTCTTTTCAAATGCACATGGAACATTCTCCAGGATTGATCACACATTAGGCCAAAAAACAAGTCTACATAAATTTAAGAAGATTGAAATAATACAAAGCATCTTTTCTGATCACAATGGTATGAAACTAGAAGTCAACTATAGGAAGAAAATCAGAAAAGCCACAAATATGTGGAGATTAAACAAAATGCTACTGAACAACAATTGGGTCAATGAAGAAATCAACGAGAAATCAAAAAACACCTGGAGACAAATGAAAACGAAAATACGACATGCCAGAATTTATGGGATACAGCAAAAGTGGTTCTAAGAGGGAATTCTATAGCAATGCAGGCCTATCTCAACAAACAAGAAAAATCTCAAATAAACAGTCTAACAGTGCACCCAAAAGGAAGTGGAAAAAGAAGAACAAACAAAGCCCCAAATCAGTAGAAGTAGGGAAATAATAAAAATGAGAGCTGAAATAAATGAAATAAAGACTAAAATAAGAATAGAAAAGGTTAATAAAACCAAGAGCTGGTTCTTTAAAAAAATAAACAAAATTGACAAATCTTTAACTAAACTCACCAAGGAAAAAAGACAGAAGGCTCAAATAAGTAAAATCAGAAATGAAAGAGGAGAAATTACAAAGGACACCTCAGAAATACAAAAGATTATAAGAGAACACTATGAAAATCTATATGCCAACAAATTGGACAATCTAGAAGAAATGGATAAATTTTTAGAATCATACAACCTTCCAAAACGGAATCAAGAATAAATAGAGAATTTGAATAGAGCAATCACCAGTAAGGAGATCGAAATAGTAATCAATAACCTCCTCCAAAATAAAAGTGCAGGACCAGATGGCTTCCCTGGTGAATTCTACCAAACATTCAAAGAAGACTAAATACCTACCCTTCTCAAATTCTTCTAAAATATTGAAGAGCAAGGGAAGCTTCCTAACTCATTGTATGAAGCCAACATTACCCTGATACCAAACCAGACAACGACAACACAAAAAAGAAAATTACAGGCCAATATCACTGATGAACATCAATGCAAAAATCTTCAACAAAATACTAGCAAATCGAATACAACAATACATTAAAAAGATTATACACCATGATCAGGTGGGATTTATTTCAGGGATGCAGGGATGGGTCAACATCCGCAAATCAATCAACATGATACACCACATTAGTAAAATGAAGAATAAAAATCACATGATCATCTCAATAGATGCAGAGAAAGCATTTGACAAGATACAGCATCCATTTATGATAAAAATTCTGAATAA